GACCAGACACAGTGTGTTGGCGTTACCTTACCTTTTCAAATATCAGGTGAAAATGCTATTGGTAAGAATGATGAACACTAACATATATATCAATAGATGAGATAAAGAAGAGCCAGCCTTACAAGGGTACACAAAATGTTGAAACCATTTGACTGCAGTATAGTCGAATTAATAAAATTTGTCCGTTTAGTATTTTTGCACCGATTCCTTGCAGTTAATTATTGATGTATAGCTGTCCTGATACCTTGTTATATAAAACAAACCCAATGTTCTACGATTGCCCTACTACTGAGATAATGGGAGCGGTGGCACAAGTCTGGGAATTTTCAACCCGGTAGTTCCTTTCTAATTCACATCCTTCTTGTTCTTATGAAATAAAAACAATAAAAATCTGTTTACCATACATAAAACTACTTTAAATACCTTAAATACCTTGATTACCTTTAAATAATTGGATTTTTGGCAAAATACTGAAAATGAGTGATTGCATTAAACTTTCTCAAGGTTATTACCTGAAATGAGATTCCCTCTGTAGTGCAACAGGAACTCTCCTTTCTCCCGGGTGACTGTTGCAAACATACCCCGACCTGAAGAGAATAGCAATAATAAAGATACTGTCAGCAGTTCATAGTAATTAATAGGTATTACCACAAAAGCATGCTTTGAATATTGCTCAACTAGAAATCCTGAAATTTGTTCTTGAAATATTTCAATTGTAGATTAGGTATTTGTCAAAGGGTAAATTATTCTTTTCTTAAACTTGAATGGTAATTGCAAAGTTCTTTGTGTCAATGTCATCTACTGACTTTTACCAAAGACAGAAAACAATGTTGATTCCTATATATACATATATATGATATAATTAGTACCTTTGTACGAGCTTATAAATTTCTCTTCAAAGCCATACTCATCGGTACATTCCAGAATATGCTCCCGAGCTACATCCTCTGGTTTCTTTCTCTTCTGTCTCTATGAAATTGCAGGAATAAACACTTGTTTTTATTAACGGAGATGCATGAGCAAGAGACATAAGAGAGATGCATGAGCAGACAGACATAGACATAATGTAACATAACCCTACATGAAATAACTGTTAACAACATAAATGGTACATTATATGTATGTGCTTAGCTAAAGCAAGAAATTGATGCTTTTACTTCAGATATTTAAGTTATTTGAGTTTAAGTTATTACTGTTGCTAAAAACTGCTAAAGAAAAAAGCCCACTCACCGCACGCTTGTCCGCCATTTTTGAGAGATGCATGAGCAGACAGACATAGACTGTTACTGTTAGACATAATGTAACATGAACCTACATGAAATAACTGCTAACAACATAAATGGTACATTATATGTATGTGCTAAAGCAAGAAATTGATGTTTTTACCTCAGATATTTAAATTATTTGAGTTTAAGTTATTACTGTTGCTAAAAACTGCTAAAGAAAAACCACTCACCACCACAACACGCTTGTCAGCCATTTTTGTCGTGCATAATACACTCTTTCGATCACCGCGTTGCGGGATATTATATAAACAGCTAGCAGACAGCGTTCATGATGCGTGCCGCCATCTGTTGTTACTTTTTTTTTTTGCGTTGCGGGTCACTCGCAAATATTTTACAGTGGGACATTTCCATCAATGATACCCGAAAAAAATTTTCCTCACGAATTGAGACATCCTGACGCATTTAAACGTGGGTGGTTTATGGGACATTATATCGGTGTCCCATAAACCGTCCAGTATCCCACAACGTGAGTCTTATGCACACATAGTAGCCCATAAACCACTTTTTCTTTAGGCAGTTTTTAGCAACAGTAATAACCTTAAAACTCAAATAACTTTAAATATTGAAGTAAAAGCATCATTTCTTGCTTTAGCTAAGCAATACATATATGTAGCCATTTATGTTGTTAACAGTTATTCATGTAGGGTTAATGTTACATGATGTGTATGTCTGTCTGCTATGCATCCTCTTATGTCTCTTTGCTCATGAGCATCTCGCGTTAATAAAAACTAAGTGTTTATTCCTTGCAATTTAGTAGAGACAGAAAGAAGAAACCGAGAGGAGTAGCTTCGGAGGCATATTCTGGAATGTACGGTATATGCTTTGAAGAAATTATAACTCGTACAAAGGTGACTAATATATCATATGATATGTATATATAGAATCACATTGTTTTTCTGTCTTTGGTAAAAGTACATAGATGACATCTGAACAAAGAACTTTGCAATTACATTCAAAGTTTAAGAAAGAATAATTTACCCTTGACAACTACATAATCTACAATTGAATCATTCAAGAACAAATTTCAAGATTCTATTGAGTCTAATATTCAAAGCATGCTTTGTGTGGTAATACCTATTAATTAAATATGAACTGCTGACAGTATCTTAGTATTGCTATTCTCTCAAGGTCCGGTAATGTTTCAACAGTCACCCGGGAGAAAGAGATGTCCTGTTGCACTACAAGAAGGGAATCTCATTTCAGGTAATAACTTAGAGAAAGTTTAATGCAATCACTCATTTCAGTATATGATTGGCCACAAATCGCATTTATTATAAAGTAATACAAGGTATTTAAGAGTATTTAAAGTAGTTTTATGTATGGAAACATTTTATTGTTTTTTTTCATAAGAACAGAGAAGGATGGTGAAATTAGAAAGGACTACCCCAGGCAAGTTGTGGCAGTTACCTCCTACTTTTCCAATATCAGTGGAAAATGCTATTGGTAGAAAAGACACTAACATTATATATCTAAGAGCGAGATAAAGGCAGCATCCCAAGGGTCAAATGCTGAAACATGCTGCAGTATTAGCGAATTAATAAACTTTCCTGCCGTTTACTTTTGACGATCTTTGCAGTATTATTGATTATACTGTCTACTTGTTCATATAAAAAAACGATATGTTTCCTACCGATGTCCCTACGCTAGATAATGAGCGGTGAAATCTGGTATTTTCACCGCACCGATCGAGATCATGTTTACTGCCGTCCGTTCACTCGAAGTGTTTCCAGTGTGTTGGGCTTCCGTGCCGCTGTGTAGCGCCATAGGGCGTGACTCAGAATACTACCAGAGTTTCACTATACATCCAGCGTGGAGTGGGCGTGAAGGTGGGCACGGTGGGGGTCATCACTATGGCAATCATAAGCCACGACGTCATTACGGACACGCGAGGTTTCTAAGTTATAACACTTCGAGTGATGAACGCGTAAACACTGATCTGCGAGTCGGGTTTCGTTTGAAAATACGAAGATTTACCGCTGCGATTATCTCAGCGTAGGGCATCGTCGCGACAAGGGTTTGTTTATATGAACAGGTAAGACAGCTAATCATAATACGACTGGGCAAGATCGTCAAACATAAAACCGGGAAAAGTTTATAATGTCGACTAATACCTGCAGACATGGTGTTCAGCATTTTAAGCCCGTTGTTACGCTCTCGGTCTTCTTATCGCTCTTGATTATTGAACAGAATTCTGTCTGAATACCTTCGTTTACATAAAAGTGACAGTGTGTAGTCAAATATATTCATACCTGACATTGTGTTTACTATGTAAAGTATCAAGCATTTTATCATGGAAAGCCCACACTGTAAAGTGTCTATTCTCTGATGCAATAGTAAGGCCATGCAATAGTTCAAATTTTTGTAATAATCTATAATATGTATATAGGTGTATGACTATATGTGGGGCAAGCTTTATTATGAGTGTGAAACTATGTATCTTACTATTAAAAAATTAAGCTAAGTTTTTCTTCTGGAGTCTGCTTGAAATGAAAATCAAATGCAACCTAATCAACCTTATAATAATCAAATGTATGAAACATTTCAGTGTGGATGCCAACTGACTCACGTCAATTGGATTCCGATCAGGACGTATGGTGAATGATGAAGTGAATCTCCCAATGCAACAATGCGGTAATACTGTGCATGGGTCCACATTCGTGTCTTTTCGTAAAAATGTGCGTCTTCCCTCGGGAACAGAAAAACATTCAACTATGGATGAGGGGACAGGGATGTACTGGGGAAAGGTAGATTTAAATATATTAGTATGTGAATCTTCTATCGCCTGATTGTCCATTGAACATTAAAATCTGGAACGAGACTCTCCTTCTGAAAGAATTATATGTTATTTCGTTAATTGTAAGCACAAATCGTCCTTGGCATTGTATTAGCATGC